ACTCCTTCTCCTCCTCGTCCTCCTCCTCCTCGTCCTCCTCCTCCTCCTGCTCCTCCTCCTCCTCCTCCTTGCTCTCCCCATCCTACGGTTCCCTGTTCCTACCCAGTTCTCTCTTAAATTTCGTGTCGTCTTTGCTATCCATCCTGCTCCTCGTCGTTTTTGTCGTCGTCGCTCCTCTCCTCACTCCTTATCGCTACGGCATCCCACTAATTATCCTCATCCCGTTGTTCATTGCTTCGACCAGCATCATGGACCTTGTTCGTGCCCGGAGCACAGCCAACTGCATCTGTTCTGGCACAAATTAGATAAGAATAGATACGGCGCGGCACTGCCATTCTTTGACAACTACATGCGAATATATATATATATATATATGTTTCTTGACGACATAGTTACGGTCCCAAGTTTTTAGGTATGCTTGAGAAATATGTGCGTTTAGATACGGCGGCGCTCCCGCGCAGACCGGGGGCGCATTGTCGCAGTTGCAGAAAATAGATACGCTGGGCTTCTCGCCTGCGCCAGGGCGCAATCGCATCTAAACGCCTCTGCTATTTCTAGATACGTCTTGCAGGGGATGCGGAAGAGCCGCACTTTGTTTTCTCCGCATCCCCCGTGTTCTTGCTCGCATTCCCGCCACGCCGAGGGCGCCCGCGGGCTGGCCGTGCGCGTCCCCTGAGGCCTTCAGGGCCCCTCGGGCCATGGACAAAACCGCGCGGGGGAGCTTTTGTTTGCGGGCCCCCGGGGGCCCTCACCGGCCCAGATCGTCAGTTGAGTATCGTTTGACCGATCCCCATCCCCAGCGGCGTGGCATGGGCACCACTGGCCGATTTACCCCCCGGGACGGGGATATAGGTCGTTCTCTCCGGGTTCCGAGGGGTGTATCCCCAACTGGGGTGGTAATTTGGTGGGGGTCTCGAAGGGGATGGGGATGGGCATTGGGATCGGTGCAACGACACTGATCAGTGGGCTCGTGGGAAGCTGGGCGCCGGGGAGCGGGTGAAGACCTCGGGTCGGAGGGAGGAGACGCGATACCAACACCACCAGGGGGCCCACCGCCAGCGAGGAGGTGCACGATGCCTCTCCGAGCTGGAGGCTGGGGATGTCTCGAGCGAGAGGGGGGGACCACACCACCAAGGAGTTCCCCCTTTGCCTCCTCGCATCTCCTCGCCCTGTTGGTGTTGGTGTCGCCTTTCCTTGTTCCTACTCGGGGTGGGGGTCGCATAACGGGGGTGCGCGAAACGGGGGGGGGGGTGCAGCGAGGGCTGGCAGAAGAGGGGCCCGCTGGGGCCCCCTAGAGGAGTCCTTGAGAGTCCCCAGAAGAGGGGCCTGCAGGGCCCGAGAAGTGCACCTATCTGTCCCCCCCCCCCATGTATCGCCCCCCCTTTTTTGAGCGACGCCCAATCATCAGGCGATCGCAAACATGGACTACGGGGGGGGCGCGGATTAGCGACGGGCCCCGCTTCCATGTCAAATCGCGGAACTCTCCGCCGTCGAGCGAGGCGGCACCGGCCGCACTTTGTGGAGGGCACCTCCCCCGATCCATGGATTTGGCGATCGCGCGCCAAATCCATGGATCGCTAATCCATGTTTGCGCGCCCCCGACATTGATCGCCCCCCCGTTGAGCGACGTCCAATCGGGTATCATGAGAAACTGGGCCTGGGGAGCGGGTCGAGACCCATTGGATCCTGGTGCCTCAATTGTTTCGAGCCGAGCGTGCTCGCCTGAGGCTCGGGCCACGGGGGCCTCGCAGGTCGATGCAGGTCGAGGCATGGCGCAGAAGGATGGGGTCCATGGGTCGGGCCGTTTTTTTTTTTCGTTCTGAAAAACTGATGTGTCAATTGGTTCGCGCAATCGGATCTCAGGCTGCTGGCGGGGGGCCTGAGGTGGCGGGACGCTTCTCAGAAGGTGGGGGTCTGCCTAAGTAGAAGGCCCTGGAGGCTTCTCAGCAGGCTCCTTTTGACGCCAGGAGGGCCTCTACGAAGGCCCCCCCCCCGCTTTCTCAGGAGCGCTCCGCCTTCTCAGAAGACCGCCCAGCTCGAGCCACTCCCCTTGTGCGCGACGCCGACCTTTGTAGGAGGACACCAACTCTTCACCCACACCGATTCTGGCCAGGCTCATCCCCAGAGTTCCCGTTCGTTGAACAGATGACGCCGGAGGTTTTCCGTAACTTTGGGCCTGTAGGGGCCCCCGTCGAGCCCCCCAGGCCATCAACAAACGGCCGAGGACGATCTTGCGGTCCTGGGAAAGCACGGTCCAGAGTTCCGGGGGGGCCGCATCGAGTCGTTCAAGATCTGGAGGTTCGGGCCTGGACGTTGCATTGTTTCCCCATCTCGGGTGCTTCTGCCTGGCTTCGGGCCCCAGGAGGAGGAGGAGGAGGAGGAGGAGGAGGAGGAGGAGGAGAGGAGGGGAGGAGGAGAGGAGGAGAGGAGGAGGAGGAGAGAGGAGGAGGAGAGGAGGAGGAGGGCCACCGCAGATCGATCCGGCTCGGAACGGATGCCG